CTGCCCAGGCCGGCCTGCGCGAGGTCGGCCAAGCCATCACCGGCGTCTGCCGGAGCCAGAACATCCCCTCGGCTCTCCGCCGGTTCCAGGAGGTGCTGGAGGACACCCCAGGGAGGAGGACCCTCTCTGCCACGGACATCAGCTACTGGGCCTCAGAGCAGAGCAAGGACCTCTCCCGCATCAGCAAGCACCTCCAGATGCTGCTGCAGCAGATCAGCCCTCTCAAATCTCAGCTGGAGGAGTCGGAGAAGCAGAAGGACGAGCTGCGGAAACAGGTGGAGGACTTCTCCCGCTTGCTGCAGGCAGAGAAGGAGGCCCAAGTGCAGCAGAGGGAGGAGGCTGAGTGGAGCCTGCAAGTCCGGAACAAGCAGCATTCAGAGGCTATAGCCAGGCTGGAGCAGGACAAGGAGGACCTACGGCGAGGTACAGTGCTGTTCCCAGCATCCCCTCCCAGCCGCGGGCCGAATCCACGGTCACATCTCGGTCCCACCACCACGAGCAGGGCCTTTTGCCACTGATTTTTGGGGGCCCTGGGGGCTTTTCGCTGCTCGGAGACTAACCCCAGTGAGCGGGAGCTGGTGGTCCACGGCCTCTCAGGGCCTCCTCCCTGCTGAAGCACAGCACGATCCAGTCACGGGGGGGAAAAACGCTTTGGTGGGGCTGGCTGCTGCCTGCTTGGTTTCAGGGGTTTTTAGGAGCTCTTGAATTAGTCGAGTTTTTGTGCTGCTTTAGGAGCTGCTGTGCTGAAAGAGCAACTCTCCACCTTAAAGGAGGAGCTGGCTGTGAAGCAGGCTGCTGTGCAGGAGCTGGGTAAGGACCCCTGGGGCTCACCCAGCTGACGCATCTCCCCCCCAGCCTCGCTCCACTCTCACCCGTGTTTCACACCCCCGTAACTCCCAGCTCCCCCAGAATCAGTCTGACATGGCACTGGTGGGAACAGGGGGGAGGACAAGCCTCCTTCGTCGCAGTGCCCAAACATCCCCCAGCACCAGAGTGGGCTGGTGCTGGTGCTGGTGGTGATCCAGGGGGTCACAGCCCTGCCAGCAGAGCTGCCTCCCCCTTGTCGGGGCCTGTGGAGGGTGTGGGACCCCCTGAAGACACCTTGTTTGGGAGCTTCTCTCCCTCCTGCCCCGCCTGGGCCAAAGGTGCGGTGTCTCTCCCCAGAGGTGACCAAGACAGCCTTGCTGGAAGAGAGGAGGACCACGGAGGCAGCCAGGGGCCAGGTGCTGGAGCTGGAGGAGAAGGTGCAGCTGCTTACTGGGCAGCAGGAGAGCCTGGGCCAGGAGCTGAGCAGCACCACCACCCTGCTGGCGAAGGAGAAGGCCAAAGTGGAGAGCATACTGAGGCACGAGGAGGTATGGCCGGGCCTGCAGTCCCCTGCTCTGGAGCCGCTCTGCAGCCCCGCAGCGTGCTGCGGGGGTGGGCTGAGCTCATGGGTGCTGCTGCCCGGGGTCAGGGCGGTGGGGAGCGGGGGCGGCAGCAGCCCTCTGCAGGCTCGCCTGCCCTGTGCAGTCCCTGCAGGCCAAGCAGAGGCTCCTGGTGCAGCACCTCGACAGGCTGGACCAGGAGCGTGAGGAGCTGCAAGCCAGCCTGGGAGAGGCTGAGGAGGACAAGGCCAGGCTGGAGGAGAGCTGGGAGCAGAGCAAGCAGCAGCTCCGGGCACAGCAGGTCAGCGCTGGCACCCGGCCCCCATCAGGGGGCTGCCCGGAGCAGGGCAGAGCTTTTCCAGGAGGGGGACTCTGGGCCCTGCTGGGACATTGTCACATGGCCATCTCCTCCTGAGACCCCCTGGGGTAGATCCCTCTGGTTTGTCGCTTCCAACTCTCCCAGGGACCTGACAGCCAAGACCCTGGGTGTCGTCACGGTCCACTTCCTACTGCCGTGAGACATCCTGGGCACAGAAGGAAAGGGAGGGAGCTTTCCTGGGAGGGCAAGTGTCCAAGTGCTCCCATGGGGCTCGCCCAGGCTGTCCTGAGGTTTGGGAAATGGCTCCGCAAACCTCACGGCCTCCCTGCTGTGCCGGACAGGAGCTGCTGGAGGTGCTGCAGAAGGAGAAGCTGAGCCTGGAGCAGTCTGTCTCAGAGCTGCAGGTGACTACGTCCAAGCTGGAGGCGCAGGCTCAGGAGCTGAAGGAGCGGGAGAAGCTCCTAGTGTTCTTCCCTGAGGTCCACAGCCCCACCGAGATGCAGGTTGAGAGTAAGGGAGCTTTCTTTTTCCTCACAGTGGGCTTGTGCCTTTGGGGGGCTCCCAGAGTTGGCAGGGGATCCCGCCGGCCCCGGCCCCGCCAGCAGGATTTGGAGCACGCGGTTTGTCCCACTCGCAGCCAGGAAGGGCTCGGGCCCTGGGCTGTGCTCAGCTGCCACCATCTGAAGATGCCTCCCTGCCTGGGTGCTGTTCTTCCCACCTCCAGGCCAGGGAATAAAGCAGGGCCAGGGCACGGGCAGAGCTTTGCTTGCTCTCGCGGTTCCAGGCAGCAGGGTTTTGGATCCCGGCTGCCACCTCCCAGGCTGGGCTGGTGCTCCCAGGTTGGGGCAAGCTCCCCTCCAGCGGGCAGCCCCCCTGCTCGGGAGGCAGGAGGGCCGCTGCCATCCCCTCCCAGCAGGCAGGCAGAGCGGGCGCGGGCGAAGCCCCGGCCCCTGCCGCAAGGACCCGGGGTTTTGTTTGCAGGCACCGGGAGCTTGACCGAGGACACGGAGAACCAGCTCCGGGCCAACAGCATCCGCATCAGCGGGCTGGAGCGGGAGCAGGAGCAGGCGCGGCTCGGTCCAGCGCTGGCCAAGCTGAAGGCGGCTGCAGCGCGGGGCGTGCTGAAGGTGAGGCTGCGCCTCAGCCAGGGCGAGCT